CAGTGAATGTATTGAGTTGAGTTGTTTATTTATGTTTTTACTTTGGAATGTCTGATTACCCAAACACCACGGTGTGTCCTGAGTACTTTTTCTTAAAAATTAAAAAACCAATAAAATATTTTCAAAAAAAAAAAAAAATTAGCTACCAGTTCTCCCAAACTGGTGTGAACTGCCTGAATCCTACCAAAGGAAGGCAGGGAGGGAGGGAGGGAGGGAGGGAAGAAGAAAGGAAAGAAGGAAGGAAGGAAGGAAGGAAGGAAGGAAGGAAGGAAGGAAGGAAGGAAGGAAGGAAGGAGTGGTGGGATTCAAATTTGTGAACAACCGGTTCTCTGTATGGATGCTGCTTCTGGAAGTCCATTCTGGGCCTGGGCAACAAAAAATTAGCTACTGGTTCTGCCAAACTGGTGTGAACTGGATGAATCCCACCACTGGTTGCAAGTCAAAAAGTACCTGTATTCCTCTATTTAATTAAAAGCACAGATGGGATCAAATAAAGAGGTCAGAAATTCTGTGAGATAGCACCCTTTGGCTCACAAAAACTGTCTCATTTCACGGGTCAGATTAAATAGGGTTTATATCTCTTTTCTTCTTCTTTTTTTGTCCTCTTTCAGGATAGCACAGATCTTTTTCTTCAGCTCTCCTGCTTTTTCCTGAGCTTCCCGGCTAGCTTCTGGATTGTCTGTGCCCACCAATATTTCCAGAATCACGTCCAGCACTCCAGCATTGTTGACTGACTCCATTTGCTTGGGCTCCACTGTGATCTCGTCCACCCAATCCAGATAACTCTGGAGCAAAGCCGCATCAGACAGGAAACAGCTGACAATCTTAAGGAAGATTGTGTGTAAAGCAGAAGTCCCCAACCTTTTGGGCACCAGGGACCAGTTCCGTGGAGAGAGTTTTTTTTGTGGACCGGAGGGGGAGTGGTTTTGTATGCTGCCTGCATCTTGCAGATGGGGCTTCGCTTGTTTGTGCAGACCGCTTGCTGGCATGCCGCGGCCCGGTACTGGTCCACGGACCAGGGGTTGGGGACCCCTGGATTAAAGTCTTCAGCAGGAAACAGCAAATAGTTTTACCAGAATGGATTCAGCCGGGCCGATCTTAGGCAGACCTCCCATCCACTCAACATGAAGGAAGTGCTAAAGCAGGGATCCCCAATCCCCAGGTTGTGGCCCACTTCTGGGCCTTGAACCTTTCAAAACCGGGCCACGGAAGTAGGGGTGAGCAATGGCATGCACGAACATCCCCACTTGCATGATCAGTGGCAAACGTAGGTGTGTGCGCTCCATTCGTGCTAGTGCAGTGGTTCTCAACCTTTTTAATGCCACGACCCCCCAACCGGTCGTAAGTTGAGGACTACTCAACCGGTCATAAGTCGAGGACTACTCAACTGGTGCAGCACCGTTTGCAGAATGGGACTTTTGATGGGCTCAGCAGGGCAGAGACAGCCTGGACAATTCCTCTTGGCTTTTGAAAGCCAATAGAATTAGACTCTATTCAAGAGTCTATTCTATTGGCTTTCAAAAACCAATAAAATAAAAGGGAGTAGCACAGCTAAGGAAAAGGGGGAAAAAATGGCGGACTGTGTTGTTTGGTGACCCCCATGAAATGGTCGTTCGACCCCAAATGGGGTCCTAGCCCACAGGTTGAGAATCACTGTGCTAGTGGCAGGGGCTTGTGCCTGCCGCTCACACGGAACCACCCATACACACAAGATGAAAAGTTGGGGAACTCTGTTCTAAAGAACGCATCCTTGGCCCTATTCTAAGGGGACTCCACCCCCTTTGCAAAATAAGGTCACGGGGTGATACTCTTTCCTAGCACAGAATATCAGTTTTGACCTGCCCCCCCCAAGTGCCCATAGAACTGAGTTCTTTTGTTATTCAAGTTCTGGATATATTTTCTACAGTCAGGGAGAAAAGGAGGGAAAGCATGCCTTGTGTTTGGAATGCCTTCTGTCTCTTTTAACAATAGTTGGCACGGGAGTTGCCAAGTCCAACAAAATGATCTGCTGTGTGTCATGGTTCCGACTAATGAAACACTTCAAAGAACTTCCAGGCATGTTTATCCTAAAGCCTTTATTACCAGTGTTACAAATTGAGGGCACATCATGGAGGTTTATGCCAGAATCTGAATTCCTCTTGCTGGCATCTAACTTTTCTTGCTAAATGCCTCCCTTACCTTGCAGTCACAAGTCACATCTTCCAATTATCCCAGAGGGCAGAGATTCACTTCCGTTCCTTTTCCCGGGCTTATTTCCCCTCCCTTTTCTCTGTCATCTGAATTAACTCTAAAAATACCAGACAGTTCTGCATATTTTGTCAGAGCAAAAATATTCAACATTAGCAGCGTTGACACTGTGATTGTGTGCATAATGTGTAACTCTGATTAATGTAATCCCCCAAAATTGGTGCTCAGAAGGGAGCATAGCAAAAGCCCTCCAGTGGGGATGCCCTGGAACAACTTGATTTTCTACAGATTCTGATCAGATTGGAACCATTTTTCATCCTTGTTTGTTTTCTTTTTCTACCTTTTGCCCCCGTATTGAAGACGGTGGTCCCTTTGGGTTCAGATTTTGGAGGGTTCTTCTGATGAGAGAGGGAGAAAGTCCCAGGCCAGTGGTGGCGAACCTATGGCACAGGTGCCAGAGGCAGCACTCAGAGCCCTCTGTGGGCACGCGTGTCATCACCCCAGTCCTAGGTCTTCAGCTGGGTTTTATAAAACCTTTTCGTGTTAGGCCTCCACTGCCGTGTGCAAAAAAAAAAAAAAAGGTTCAATCAATCAGTCAATTTCAACCTCACAGGAAAAAAAAAAAGATCTTCCAAAGTTGGAATTGATTGATTGAACTTTTTAGTCCCACCCAGTCTGCCATTACCACTGCAGCCATGCCCACCTGATAGTCCACACCCAGCCAATGGGCCACACCCACCCGGCACCTGACAATGCATAAGTGGGTTTGGGTTGCAGTTTGGGCATTTGGTCTCTAAAGGGTTCTCCATCACTGTCCCAGGCCATTTTAATTCCTTTCCAACCTTCCATTGATAGGAACTGTGGGATAATCCGTGGATGTTCTAAACCAAATATGAAGTCTAAAACTCACCATTTATTTATTTATTTATTTATTTATTTATGAGACTTATATACTGCTTTAAGTGCAAGCACTCTCTAAGCGGTGTACACCAGTAAGCAATATATATATATATATATTTACATTGCCCCCAGCAATCTGGGTCCTCATTTTACCTACCCCAGAAGGATGGAAGGCTGAGTCAACCTTGAGCCGGTGAGATTTGAACCGCTGACCTGCTGAACACAGTCAGCTAAAGTGGCCTGCAGTACTGCACTCTAACTGCTGCGCCACCTCGGCTCTTATAAAATTATATATAAAATTCCCCAACCAGCACTTCACCTCCCAATGACCTTCACATAAGGTGACTTCCCCATCCTGAGGCCCATCACAAGACTCTCACTTGGCATGACCCACACCTGTCCCATCCCAAGACCCATCCCAAGGCTCTCACTTGACATGACCCACACCTGACCTCTCTAAGCAAAAGAACACAGACACTGACACCCCCTAAATTCTGCTGAAGATATTACCTAGCCTGGTAACAAACCAACCCACAAACTTGGCGAACAAGCCTCCCCCCTCATTCCGTAGCTTAATTGAAGAGTTGAGGTGGCGCAGCAGTTAGGGTGCAGTACTGCAGGCCACTTTAGCTGACTGTGTTCAGCAGGTCAGCGGTTCAAATCTCACCGGCTCAAGGTTGACTCAGACTTCCATCCTTCCGGGGTAGGTAAAATGAGGTCCCAGATTGTTGGGGGCAATGTAAATATATATATACATTGCTTACTGGTGTACACCACTTAGAGAGTGCTTGCACTTAAAGCAGTATATAAGTCTCATAAATAAATTGCCCCAAAACCATGTTTTTCCACCTTGGCGGCTCAATTCCCAGTGTTCCCCTGCCAACATGCATTTTAAAGAAAGCATTTTATGACCGTCTCTACTTACACCAGTCTTTTCAGACAGCACTGGGGGGACTTTAGAATAGTTGCTTCGATTTTGGCTGCTTCCCAATCTAGAGAATTGTATTGCAATCTGAAACACAATGCAATCAGTCGGCTTCCCTTGGCTACAGAATGAAGCCATTCTCTGAAAGTGCACAACCCAGAGGGATCAACAGCTTATCAAACAGGTTAAATATCAAGGTTAATGCTAACCAGTTCCGGCATGCTTGTACAGTTACAGCCACTGCCTTTAGCTATTCTGGTAGCTTAAAGGTCACATTTCTCTGGAAGACAAGTGTGATCAGGATTTAAAGGCCCAGAAAAGGGAACTTGTGTGATATTTAAAGATGCAACCCCATCACACACAACTTCTTGTCCTAACCAGTCCAGATGTGCTGGGAAGGCCCTAGATCAGTGGTTCTCAACCTGTGGGTCAGGACCCCATTTGGGGTCGAACGACCATTTCACGGGGTCGCCAAACAACGCAGTCCACCATTTTTTTCCCCTTTTCCTAAGCTGTGCTATTCCCTTTTATTCTATTGGCTTTCGAAAGCCAATAGGAATTGTCCAGGCTGTCTCTGCCCTGCTGAGCCTGCCAAAAGTCCCATTCTGCAAACGGTGCTGCACCAGTTGAGTAGTCCTCGACTTACGACCGGTTGAGTAATCCTCGACTTATGACCGGTTGAGGGTTGCGGCATTAAAAAGGTTGAGAACCACTGCCCTAGATTGAGGAGGACCATTGGCATCAATATGCATCACTCAGTTGCAATGGAAAGAATTTCTTTGACAAGGGAAAGAAAAAAAAAAAGCTTTAAACCAGCGATGTCCAACCTTGGCAATTTTAAGACTTTGTGGACTTCAACTCCCAGAATTCCCCAGCCGGTCACGGGGAATTGTGGGAATTGAAGTCCCCAAGTCTTAAAGTTGCCTAAGTTGGACACATCTGCTTTAAACAAGGGAAATGAAAGGGTTTAAATAAAGGAGGGGATTTTTCAAAATAACGAAAGACCAGAAGTGAAACTGAGGTGGAAACACAGGACCAAGCTGAGAAAATTAGTGTGAGGGGGCAGAGGAAACATGGTGGCAATCAACAACTTGATCATGGATGGCAGAAATCCAGAAGACACAGAAGCGACAGGCCAGAGCAGTACCCTTTGCAACTTTAAGATGTGCGAACTTCAACTCCTAAAATTCCTATTAAAATGAAATGCAGTAAGAATGTAAGAAAAAAGTAACAGCACCTTCCATTTTAAGTATTTGATTTCTGTAATGCCGTTTGGATAAGACGACTAAGGATAAAAAAATCTGTGGGGATGGGCTGACCTCTTGGATCAGGTTTGGATTTCTCAGGAAAGGGTTGGAGCCCCACTAAGGTGGAAGTATAGCATTGGGTGCCAATGGTGTTAAATCAAAAACTGTGGATAGGAACTGGGAAGAGTCCAGTAGCATTACCCGAATTCTGAATAACTTAATGAAGGGGCTACAAATAATCTTCTGCAAAGGTCATGCTGGCAACTCTGTTTTTATGAACAGGAAAGGTTCTAGAACAGTGGTGGCAAACCTATGGCACGGGTGCCAGAGGCGGCACTCGGAGCCCTTTCTGTGGGCACTCATGCTGTTGCCCCAGCCTTGCATCCCCCCACGGCCCTCTCCTCACCAGTAGCCCCCTCCCTGGAGGAGAGTCGCCCCCAGGCAACAGGGACAAGACTCTGCCCTCACACCCCATAGCGTGCAGATGATGCTGTGGAGTGTGGGCAGAGGCCATGGCTGCCATGGTGCTGCAGGGCTGCCTGGAGATCTGCTGCAGCAAGCCATAGAGGCGGTGCATGGCCCTGCAGGCAGGTGGGGCAGGGGGTGGGTGGGGGTGGAGCAGGCAGGGTGGGAGGCAGAGTGGGGGCGAGGTGGTGGTTTTTGGGCAACCGATCTCTCAAAGGTTCGCCATCACTGTTCTAGAATTAGCTCTAAAGCAATGATGGCGAACCTTTTAGAGACCGAGTGCCCAAACTGCAACCCAAAACCCACTTATGCATCATCAGGTGCCGGGTGGGCATGGCCCATTGGCTGTGCGTGGCTGCGGTGGTAACGGCAGACTGGGTGGGACTAAAAAGTTCAATCAATCAATTCCAACTTTGCAAGATCTTTTTTTTCCCGCGAGAAGTTGAAATTGACTGATTGATTGAACCTTTTTTTTTTTTTTTTGCACACGGCAGCACAGGCCTAAAGTGAAAAGGTTTTATAAAACCCAGCTGAAGGCCTAGGACTGGGGTGATGGCGCGCGTGCCCACAGAGAGGGCTCTGAGTGCTGCCTCTGGCACCCGTGCCATAGGTTTGCCACCACTGCTCTAAAGGTTTAAGCATGCCCATAAAACTATAATTTCCCAGGAATGGCATGGCATGGGAAAGACATAGGATTGAAAATAGTTCAAAAGCAATGCACCCTTACAATGGGGAATAGATCTGCCTTAGATACTGCGTCTCTTATTTATTTATTTATTTATTTATTTATTTATTTATTTGTTTATTTATTTATGAGACTTATATACCGCTTTAAGTGCAAGCACTCTCTAAGCGGTGTACACCAGTAAGCAATGTATATATATATTTACATTGCCCCCAACAATCTGGGTCCTCATTTTACCTACCCCGGAAGGATGGAAGGCTGAGTCAACCTTGAGCCGGTGAGATTTGAACCGCTGACCTGCTGAACACAGTCAGCTAAAGTGGCCTGAAGTCCTGCACTCTAACTGCTACGCCACCTCGGCTCTTCCAGAATCGAGAATAGGATATTGATTTCTTTCAGTCTCATCGTCCCTGTCTATTTAGGTCAAAGCCAACAAACTGTCAAACAGATACTCACTGCAAGGTTTTGCAGCAAAGGAGATGGTCTTGCAATTGCTTCAGTCCTCCGGTGCCCATATTGCAGTAACTTAAGTTGAGATTTGGGAGCAGCTGAGATTTTGAGCAACTCAGGACATATGCCAAAGCTGTGCAATCAGCTAGGTTCAATGTCGCTTTGCACAGGTCCACCTTGTCCATCGTGGAAATGACCTCCTGGGTCACATCATCCCGGTGCAGCTCTGCTAAGCAATGTATCAAGGACAGCAGCTTCTGACCTGATTCCCATGAAACCTTTTTTCCAAACCAGTTTGCCAAAAGCATGATTGGTTCTCCTTCCCAGCTACTCCCAAGCAGCCCTTCCAGCTTGCCTTCCAGTCTAGAGGTCCACAGTCCCATGAAAAACCTGGAAAACATTTGCAGTTTGTCCCACTGTGGGTGTCTATTCAGAGATTGCCAGGTAGATTGCCAGGGCCTTTTCTGTGGTGGCTCCGACCTGATGGAATCAACTTCCCCCCGAGGTTCGAACTACTCCCACCCTGCCGGCCTTTAAGAAGGCCATTAAAACCCTCCTGTTCCGGCAGGCCTGGGGCTGATGTCCCCGGGGGGCCGGGATATGATCAGACTCGCGGTATGACTGCTTTATTTTATTGTTTTATCATTGTTTTAACTTTGTACGCCGCCCTGAGTCCTTTGGGATTGGGCGGCATATAAATACTATAATAAATAAAATAATAAATAAATAAATAGAACTGTAAAATCCACCAGCAGATTCCTCTGAGTCTTGAGTTTCTGGAGTTTTTCCATTCCACCAGAGATCCAGGCAATCAGTTAATTCGCCAGCGTTAAAGCCCAAGTTAACCACAGAGTATAATGCAGCCAAAAATTCCTGTATGGTCAAGTGGAAGAAACTGTAGATTCCATTGGTCTCCTTGAAGAAGATCTGATTCAGATAAACAGGTGGCAGGTTTTGTAGACCAAAACCAAACTCCTGTAGTTCATCTGCATAGAACACGGTCTGTCCCCTTAGCAGGCCAGCATAGGCCAACTGGCCAAGCTGCAGCAGCACATCTTTGCCCCTCCTCAGATCCCATTGCATTGCTTCCTCTGGTTGAGAAGGAGGCTTGTGAAACTTCAAGATGGTGCACACATAAAGCAGATAGAGTTCAGTGACGGTGCAGGGTGGGGAGGCTCGGATCGCCCCCTCATCTGGAAAGTACTGGCCCAGAGCTGTACAGAGAATAAAGCAGTAAAGAGGAATGAAGGTAAAGTTAGCTAAGGCATGGTGAGTTGAAAGGTAATTCATCACTTCCATGCCATGACTGGAGCTCTGGAAGGACTGGGAGATATAGTCCTTCACCTGTGCCTCTTGTAAACCAAGGATAAAAACATGACGGTTAAAAAGTTCTGGTGGGAGAGGAACAGAAGACCTGGATGTGACCAAAATAGTGGACTCAGGAAGCAAGGTGCCATAGAGGAGACCGTACACCAGATCTTTCACGTGGCCTGACTCATCTGGCCAGAGGCAAGGATGTTTGCTGTCCAGGGGATGCCTGAACTCACCCAGTCCATCCAAAATCAGGAGCAGCTCCGTCGGTCGCTCCAGCAATGCAGGAAGAACTCTGCTCAGATGTGTGAACTTAATGCAAATTAACTCTTCCAAACTCTGGCTTGTGGTGATGAGACTAAGCTCCTGGAAGGAAAAATCCAGGACGCAAAGAAAGCCTTGGAAGGCTCTGCCTAGTGCCCAATAATGGAGGACCTTCTGGACAAGGACAGTCTTGCCGATACCAGCAAGGCCACTCAGCATCACCCGGTTAGGTGAGGAGCTGTCCTGGGGGAAAGGAGAGAAAAGATGACACAGGTCCAGATGGGATGAGGCGTGGTAGGAACGAAGCCATGTCTGATGAGAGGCCAACTGCAAGTAATCATGGCTGGTGGGGCTGGAATAGGGCCTGTTGAGTAGTAGGAGGTTGGGGTAGTAGACTTCAGGACATTTGCATGGCTCAGTGTCTTCCATATCGGTGCACAGCTTCTCACTTTGGGTCAGCAACAAGCGATGGTGGTTTTGCAGGGCAGCTGGGAAAGCAAAAGCAGAGGTACATTTGAGGATGATTCTGATGAAATCCACAGCACTGAATGTTATGGATTATCTTTCTCCACAAAACCTTCCTTTGCCCTTCAGCTATTTGGTTCTTTTGGATAATCTGCTTTTTTTATTCCTTTGCTGGGTGATCTTCTCCAAAGTTGGACAACAACCAGTTCTGACCTTGCCTCCTCCTCCTCCTCCTCCTCCTCCTCCTCCTCCTCCTCCTCCTCCTCCTCCTCCTCCAGCTTAGTTGGATCACTGGATTTTATCCTGGATCTTAAATTAAGAAGGAACTAAAACTAGCATCCCTCCTGAGTCTTAGCAGCATGCTCTCACCAACAAGCACAAGGGCTGTCAAGAAGGCAGCTGGCAGGAGAACACAGAGGTAAGTAACCTGCGCCTGCTGCTGAAAACTAGGAGCTCTCCACTCAACCTGGGCTTGGTGAGCCTCAAAGAAGAGAAGAAGATTTAGGCAACTGGTTTGCAAGAATCTCACACCAGACCTGCTAATAACATCATCTCTGTTTGTGTGTTTTTTTACTATCTCTTTGATATATTTACCTTTGAGTTGCCGGTTCAAGCCCCTCCGGAAAGTTGAGCTGTTGTTCTTTTGCATATCTGCTGGGACAGGAGAAAATCATGTTGGAATTGGCCTCTCCTTCTCTGTTGACCTCCAAGGAGTGACAGGTTTTCTCTGCTGGGCCACCCTTTCCACCTGCAGAACGGACAGTGCCAAGACCTGGCCTTCTTGGGTAGCTAGTAAAGCCTCAAGAGTCTCACAGAATTCATCCTTTTCTTTAGGTTTATTTTTATAGTTTTTGCCTTGTCCTGGATAAGCATTCTACAATGCTTCTAGTGGATCTTATCTGATCTTAGTTGGTCAAACTTTTAACACATCTTGTTCCTTTAGGTCCATACATTTTCTACAATGAATCTCTTTTACCTAGTTGGTGTTCTTGCTTGAAACAAACAGCTATGTCTCTGTCTCTATCTCAATGGCGTGCTTCATTATGTCAGGTGCAAATAATCAGGAAGAGGAATTGAGTTGAAGGCACTAAGAGTTTATTCTTGCCACCAATATACAAAAATCTGAGCAACTAACAGTCCAGGCTAAATTGGCACTAAATAAGGGTCAACAGAATTCAGGCGGGGGGGGGGGGGAAGGGGGCAGGGTGCTAGATTTGATTCTCTTGTGGTTGCGCAATGACTCCAAATTAATGACTTATTTAACCCCCTCCCTCTAGCTCAGCCTGCCCATCTCCTACAGATTGTTTGTTTAACCACAGTTTATTGAATAAGCTGCATTAGCTGCAGTTCGCAATTACAGTAGGCACTAATCCATGGATTAACAGAAGGACTATCCAACTTGGATTGCAGCAACCCAGATGGCTATATGGTCCCAAAGAGAACATTCTAATTCTAATAATAATAATAATAGTAAAGTTGGAAGGGACCTTGGAGGTCATCTAGTCCAACCCCCTGCTTAGGCAGGAAACCCTATACCATTTCAAACAAATGGCTGTCCAGTCTCTTCTTGAAAACTTCCGGTGTTGGAGCATTCACAGCTTCTGGAGGCAGGTTGTTCCACTGGTTAATTGTTCTAACTGTCAGGAAGTTTCTCCTTAGTTCTAGGTTGCTTCTCTCCTTGATGAGTTTCCATCCGTGGCTCCTTGTCCTGCCTTCAGACGCCTTAGAGGATAGCTTGACTCCCTCTTCTTTGTGGCAGCCCCTGAGATATTGGAACACTGCTATCATGTCCACCCTCGTCCTTCTCTTCGTTAAACTAGACATACCCAATTCCAGCAACCGTTCCTTATATACTTTAGCCTCCAGTCCCCTAATTATCTTTGTTGCTCTTCTCTGTACTCTTTCTAGAGTCTCAACATCTTTTTTACATCGTGACCAAAACTGGATGCAGTATTCCAAGTGTGGCCTTACCAAGGCATTGTAAAGTGGTATTAACACTTCACGTGATCTTGATTCTATCCCTCTGTTAATGCAGCCCAGCACTGTGTTGGCTTTTTTGGCAGCTGCAGCAAACTGCTGGCTCATATTTAACTGATTGTCCACTAAGACTCTGAGATCCCTCTCACAGTTACTACTATTGAGCAAGGTACCCCTATACTATACTTGTACATTTGGTTTTTCTTGCCTAAATGTAGAACCTTACTTTTTTCACCATTGAATTTCATTTTGTTAGATACCGCCCAGTGTTCAAGTCTGTCCAGGTCTTCCTGTATCTTAAGCCTGTCTTCTGGAGTGTTGGCTATTCCTGCCAGCTTAGTGTCATCTGCAAATTTGATGAGTTCCCCATCTATTCCCTCGTCCAAATCATTGATGAAGGTGTTGAAGAGCACTGGGCCCAGAATAGGGCCCTGGGGCACCCCACTACACACTTGTAGATGCGGTTCCATTGAGGACCACACGCTGAGTATGGCCGGTCAGCCAGCTACGGATGCATCTGGTGGTGATGCTGTCTACCCCACATTTTTCTATCTTGTCAAGAAAAATGTGGGGTAGACAGCATCACCACCAGATGGATCTAACTCATTGTGGCTCTGTAGCCATCTGGAGTTTTGGCATCTCAGATCTCGGTTTGCATAATTCAGTAAGCCGGAAACAAGCAAACTGACATAACTAGCTTAATGCAGTATTTCTCTTCAGGAGCTTGAAGTTGTAAGGATTTCAACTTGGAATTCTAGGAGGGGAAATCCACATGTCTTCAAATTGCTGAGGTTGAGAAATACTAGCTTAATGTGATGTGGGAACTCAGGTATCAATTGAGTGCCCTAAAGCATTGACCAAAGCTCTACCCATTTAAAGAAATTGGGTCAACTAGCCTCAGTTTTAATTGTAAGCAGTTTAAAAAGACCATCCCAGCAAGAATAAATATGATACACAAATCAAAACATCTCATAGGGTGGTGTGGGAACATAACTTGCCTGCAGATATCCGTGGGAATTTATATTTTTGGGGTTGCCAAAATGTCAGCAAATTCCTTCTGGAAGGTGAAGGATCTAGAAAGAACAGAGAAAATTTAGAAGCTACATAAAGTCTAACCCTTGACTTAAAACCATGCCTTTTATTGGGTTAATTTTCTTCTCTCATTAACATGCACTGGTAACCATTTTTGTCTTGTGACTTATACATTTTCTAATCCTTGGAACACAGCCGAAGCATCTTAAAATCACATTTAGCTGTCCAGGTATACAATAATGTTTTACCTCTTTTCTCAACCTCAGTTTTAGTGTGGAGATGTCAGCCTTTCAAGGTAGACTAGACCTGGAAACCAAACCCAAACTAATTTTATTGTAAAGATATAGTAACAGAATCTTAAGAGGTGGTTTGGGAGATGAACAGTGACTGACTTGCCAATCTCTAGAGCAGGGGTCTTCAAACTTGGCAACTTTAAGACTTGTGGACTTAAAGGCTGAGGGCTGGCTGAGGAATTCTGGGAGTTGAAGTCCACAAGTCTTAAAGTTGCCAAATTTGAAGACCCCTGCTCTAGACAAGGAGTGTCAAACTGCCGGCCTGTGTGCCGGATGCATCATCCAGAAGTTGTGCCCACCCCATTGCCGGCAATGGCAAAACCGTCCCGATAAGTTGTGCGATGTCACATGACATCGCGAGTTTGACATGTCTGCTCTAGACAAAGAGCCTTTGAAGAACAAGCATGTATTATACTCAGGCCTTATGTCCTATTTAGTTGATATCAATTGAACCATGTTTATACCTGGTGGAATTATAAAAAGTTCCATTTTGCTCCGCTGGAGCACAGTCTCTTGCAGCCAGTGCTGAAGACCAGGGCTGTAGATCTCTTGAAGTTCCTTCAGCTTCTCCAGAAATATTTGGCTTTCTGCTGGCTTGTGGCTGACCCTCTCCAGAATGGAAATGACCTGGTTCTTCTTGGGTCTGACCTCCAGCAAGGAGAAATACTCGGACTGAGTGATGAGGCCCGAGCCATAAAGCCAGTGAAGCAGAGGAGCTGGACATGGTTCAACCCAATGCACCAGCTGATCCCGATAGCCCTGGATTAGATGCAAACAATGTGCAAAATCAGCCATGTGCAGAGCTGGAAAGAGGAGGAAAGGATGTCAGAGCTTTTGTAGGAACCAATAAAGGAGAATATTTGTAGCTCAGGGTTGACATGAATGTTGCTTGGTGCTCTCTGAGTTTGTTTGCTGATACATAATATGCAAAATTAGACAACCAACATGCCAAAACAAAGAGATGATCAACAAACCAAAAAGGGAATAAAGAGACCAAAACATCTCCCCACCAGCAATCAGCACCCATATGAGCATAGATTAACTCCAAGATTAATGTCAGACCAACAATCAAGTAAACAATATCCCAATCAAGGAACTGCCAAAGAAGGAACAGTAAACAGCCCACCCAAAAACCTCTAAGGCAGCGGCCCTCAATGTTTCGGGCACCAGGGACCGGTTCTGTGGAGAGAGTTTTTTCCAGGGACTGGAGGGGGCGTGATTTCACATGCTGCCTGCATCCCACGGATGGTAGTTTGCTTGTTTGTGAGGCCCGGTTTCTGGCAAGCCATGGCCTGGTGCAGGACCAAGGTTGGGGACCCCTGCTCTAAGACCATCCCCCACCAACACCGATAGGGCAAGCCACTAGGATAGGGGTAGGCAACCTTGGCTCTTTTAGGACTCGTGGACTTCAATTCCCAGAATTCCTGAGCCAGCATGGGGGAACTATGGCCCCTTCATGACTCATGGACTTCAACTCCCAGAATTCCTGAGCCAGCATGGCTCAGCATGCAAACCTCTCCCTTTCCCCTCAGCATGGCTGGCTCAGGAATTCTGGGAGTTGAAGTCCACGAGTCATAAAAGAGCCAAGGTGGCCTACCCCTGGTCTAGGATATAAACTGAGAGCAAATCCCACTCCTTATGAGCATGGAGGATGTTACCTAGTTTGGGTCATGACACATCTGCAAGAAAACAGCCAAGCTCAGAGAGCACCAAGGACCCTTCTGTAGGAAGGAATGAAGCAATTCCTTAGCCTCGTGCATAGAAGAGATTCCACCTGCTCTGGTTCCCTCTTTGGGGTGATCACACGGATGTATAACTTTCATTCAGGAGATTAGATGCTATCTAGATCAGACATGTCAAACACAAGGCCAAGGGGGCTGGATACGGCCCATGAAGTGGTTTCATGTGGCCCGCGAAGACATCCTAGAAACAGTGAGGGAATGGCCCCCGCTGCCTTGGCCCTGGCCCAGGCCAGCCGGAAGCCAATGTACAATTTTGTGGTGGCCATCCATGCTGAAATGCATTCAGTCTTAGCTCCACAAGGCCGTCCAGAAACAGCGAGGAACCAGCCCCTGCTGTGACGGCCCCGCCCCCTGGGTGCATGCTGGGGAGGTGTCACCTTTTGTGAGGAATGAAGAAATGGACTATGCCTTGGCGCTTGCCCCGGTCCCACCCCCTTCTGCCAGAGACCCTCAGATTTGTCCCACTCCTGCCCAGGCCCCCACAGGCACCCTTGACGCGAACGATGTAGAGCTGGCCATGTCCCCCCAGTAGGACACACCCACTCCATCCACGCCCAGCCAGTAGGCCACACCCACCCTGGCTACACACATCCTGCCCCACCGAGGGCAACCACAATGCTGATGCAGCCCTCAATGAAATTGAGTTTGACACCCCTGATCTAGATTCCCCAAAATTGTTCTGGAACCGGGATTTTCCGCATCACAATTTAACTGGTTGTGCTGGTAGAGAAAAGGAGGAAAACGTTACATAGAGAATGCAGGAAGGACAACATGGAGATGGTCACAACTGCGCTTTTTGGCTTCTCAGCTTCTTCAGGGCTGTGTAGCTTTTCATCTCCTAGGTGAGAAAGAACCATATCCTCCCAAGCAGGTTCAAAGGCTTTTGACTATTTGGTCAACTTATTGTTCAACTTTTATTGGTTTTACTCCTAACAGAATGGCTCACTATCCTTTCTCAATGAAAAAGGCTTACCAGTAGCGGACCTGAGAAGAAATGGACCTTGTAATCCTGACCTTT